TTCTCAAATGCAATCTTGTAACTTTCAATTGGGAATTTTTTCCTGTGGATTGGGAAAATAATATACTATTTTTTAATGGGAATATGACCGAATATCGGCTATAAAATAAGGCAAAAAAAATCCCTGAACACTAAAAGTAGTACAAATATCACTCATGTGGTTATACTTGGTTTTTATTCCATTTTCACTTATCAATGGCATTTCTGTTTTTGTTTACCGATTTTGAGGAAATTTTCAGTGTTATTTTGGGAATTTATCAGTCATGAATTGGGAAATTTGTTGTCTATTTTCTATTGGGAATGGTGCCGTTCTTCGGCATCTGACAGTTTTATCAGGAAAAAAACACTGTATTTAAGTGTTTGAGCAGCATTTTGTATTCATTATTTCTAGGAATCTTATTTTGATTTGTTTTATTATTAAATTATCAGTCTAAGGTGTTTCAACAAATTGCTGACCAGTGTTTCCACCCTTGCCAAGGCAAAAAATTTTACAATATATACAAACTCTACCTCCGTCTTTAGGACTTAGTTCTAGAGCCCACCATGATGTTGACATCAGCAACAACATGTATATCATAAAATTCGAATATTTTAGTGCAAATTGCAGAAATGTTATTACAGCAAAACACTAACTATATTTTTTAAGAAAAGTTAAAATTACAAATTTTATGCCATTTCAAGTATTCGAATTCATGCAGCAGGGTTTCATAAATACAAGGATTGCCGCTACCTCGAGCACATCGATATCCATCTCCCTTGACAAATAGGTCATTTTGGACCACGGCCATTTGGCATTCATTTTGTGATATTATTGCCATAAATAATTGTTGATTTTTTTTGTTTTTATATACAGTAAAATTCCTATTAAACGCCCCGAAGGCTAAACAATTTCCAAAAGGGGGGCTATTATTACAACACAGTAATAATACTGTAAATACATTTAGTGTTAGCAAGTGTTGGTAATAACATTAAAAAGTGTTAAGGTTTTAAAGTTCTTATTATACATATGTCATTTTGTGTTTACTATAAAATAAAATGGATTCTGAATGATTGAATAAAATGATGGCTTTAATTATGAGTTCAGCACTGATCATCAGATGAGTAGATTGTCTCTGCTCATTCAAGATGGCCGCCATTTTCAAAATGGCCGCCATACACATTTGACATACATACTAGCTCATTCATTCCAATTTTTAGTAGAGACCTTTAACTAACACCAAAAGCATGCATATAGTTTCTCCTTTTCAAAAATTTAAATCTTACAAAATTTCTCTTTCATACCTCTTCCAAATCCAAGATGGCGTCCAATATGGCCGTCGATTTTGTGCAAAACTGTTATATTATTTTTATAGTAAAATTTGATGCACAAATTATGTTTATTATGATAAAAAGTGTTTAAACATATCAAAGATAATCAAATTATATGTTAATTTCAATAAAAGTAAACATTTTAAAAGTTTGTGTCTTAGAAATATCTTTCAGAAAGATCAAGAAAAAAATCCATTTTTTTCATATTGTTCAAATTTGATTTCCTTAATTAAGGTACAAAGTTAAAAAAGTTACTTTATATCTTAAACTGGAATTGACATTCCATTAATATCATGTGTTTATTGTTAAAAATGTAAGAAAAACATTAAATCTGTAGGTTTTATATTTTGTGAAAGTGGGTGGGGTAATTTTATACGGTAATTATTGTAAAAGAAAAAAACAACAGAAAATAAACATAGCTAAGTTCATTCTATTTATTTGCCTTTATGCTTTTCTATGAATTCTAATGCAAATGTTCCAACTTAAAAAGTAGTTTTTATTGGATGAAAGTATTTTTGTTTTCCTTCGGGCCAAGTGGCTAAGCAAGAAATGCACATACAAACATGTGTATACATTCAGTTATTAAATTTGGTTGCATGATAATTTTTGTTTCAATATATTTGATATCATATATTAATTGTTAATTGTAAAGACATATAAGAAGACAATAAATCAACTAAAGTGCTTAAAATAGCAAGCATGTACATGAATGTAAGGTATAAAGGTAATCCATAAACGCATATTTTTGTCTCCTTCACAATTTTATATTTATAATATAAACATGGCTTAAAAGCCAACAAAATGTATATGATGTGAAACAGATATATCAATGATATGGCCTGGCCTGCATGCAGTTTTTTGGAAAGCTAAGATACAAAGTAAGTGTATTTCCTAAAGTAATCGTATCTCTTTTTTTTTCTTTCAATAAGAGGGAATAATGACCCTGGATCACTCACCTAAGATCATTGTTGGAAAAAAGGTAACAATATCGTTTTGGGAGTGTCAATTATGTCAGAACACATGATTTGTGTCATAATTGAATGCGGTTGCGTTTAAAAGAAACATGCTCAATATCTAGTTTCAATTTTTTCACACGAGAGAACTTTAATAACATTATTCATATATTTGTTTATATAAACTTAGTAAATTTTGACCATGTTGACCATGATATATCAAATATTTGTAGAGTATAACACAATTATGATGATACATGATTAATGTCTATGCGTCAGATTGAGATACTGTTGGTTAGGAGTAGGAGAAAACAGATTTAATACATTAGTCTTAGTAAATTAAGTGATACTCATTGCAAAACCATTTTAGACTGCAGTAGCATCATACATTCAAATGTATGCATGTTATATCAGGCTACATCCCAAATATCTTAGTTAAAGTCATTGTAGTTTTACACTTGATATTTTAATGTGTTTTCCTATACAAGACTGTGAACCCAGGTGGCTCTATGAGCACGGTACATTAAATATGTTGATAAAGACACAAGGTGGGGCTACATGCTTAGTACCTGTGCTCTGTGCATTTTTATTTTTGAGAAGATTTTTAATTTTGCATGTACACACTTAATGATCCAAAAGTGTTTCATGTAACTTTAAAAGAGGTCTTCTTTACTTGGCAAGGTTTCATGGTGACTATCTAAGCTCTAGGCATTGTAGTTTCTTTGTTTGTTGATTTTTTTAAAAATAACAACAAAAAAAACTTCAATAAGATTCCCTACACAGGTCTTTAAAAACTGTGTTCCTCGTGAGGGCATTTAAATCATACTCCTGCAGTCCAAAATGGCTTTACCTGTCACTTTGTTTACATTGACTTATATATTAAAATTCTTCTCCGAAAATACAGTGTACAGAGAAGAAAATATATTGTATATCATCACATTGTGATGCTATATAAACTATTTTGGCATAGGGTCAAAATCACTTAGTTTACATGGACTCATATTGGAAATTTAGTTATATGAGTCTTTTTGTAGTTCTGAGAGCCTAGTTATTGGGCATGTTTCTTTTCAAATAGTATATAAATCATGACTGTATTTGGTGAAAAAAGATACTCCTTATATGATTTAAGCATTCTTCAGTATTAAAGAATTATAGATCTTAAAATTCCAGCAGTGGATCTTAGGCGAGTGATCTAGGGTCAACTATTCTCTATTGTTTAATGGGGAAAATAAAGTATGAATACATTTAGTTTATATTCCAAATCATAAGCTATGTTATGTGGGTCAAGCGGTTTTATTGATACATATTTTAGCACACATAGATAATATGATGTATCAGTCGCCTTAATTTTTGTTTCTTTTGAAAATATCATGTCTACATAAGTTATCAGAAATGGACAGTACTAACTCAATTATACTTGGTTACAAAGATGTGCAAGTAAATATAACTTTGAATCATTCTGTTACAAGCTTTTAGCAAGACTAAATTATCCAGGAAATAATTTTATTCATAAATAGACAACATTTCACTCAGGTCCAGTCATGATTTTATCTAACATATGGTTCGTTGATGAATAGTCATGTCTTCTTTCTGTACAATTGTCAAATTATATTAAGAATGTTGAAACAACTTATATAATGCAAACACATTTAATATTAAACTGAATGTATACATATGAGTGTATCTGCATTTATTGATATTTAAGTACACCCTCTAGACCTGAAGGAAGACAAAAATACCTTAATACAATAAAATACTTTTACAGTGACTATTTGCATAAGAATTCATAAAACACGTTATTTTGTACTACAATTGTCTGATAAGTTTACCCCACCCACTTTGAATAAGTATAAAACCTTCACATTTTTTGTTTTCGTTACAATTATACAATAAAACAAAGTGTTGATTCAATATCAAATACACTTTAAGAAACTATGTAACTTTTGGAATTTTGTACATAGACCTAGAAAACCATGTTAGAGAAAAATGCAAAAAGTGGCACTTTTTCTTTGATATTGTTAAAGATTTTTTTGTACAAAAAATTAAAAACATGACTTACAATGTGGTTAACCTAAAATTTGATTTTTGTTCTAATAAGTTTAACAATTTTATATGGAAATAAGCATACTGTGTGCAAAAAATTATACTACAAAAGAGATATATCAGTTTTCATTAAAATTGGCAGCCATATTGGACGCCATCTTGGATTCTGAAGAAATATGCAAGCGAAATTGCTTAAAGATTTAAAAATTTGAAAAGGGAAACTATAATGCATGCTTTGGTGTAAGTTTCAAGTCTGTACAAAAATTTGGAATGAATAAGCTATTATGTACGTCAAATTTATATGGCGGCCATCTTGAAAATGGCGGCCATCTTGAATGAGCAGAGATATTTTTGGGCCCACTTCACTTTTGAAATCTACATGGTCTAAAGATAATTTCCTGAAAGTTTCATGCTTGTATCACAATTTGCACTATTTTGACAGCAGAGACCTTATTTCCCGCCCCACTATATCAAGAAGCCTGGGGGGGCCTTTTACGGTATTATTTGTTAGTTATTTTGAAAAGACCGGTACTTTTTGAATCAATATTTACCGGTAAAATATAAAACTGTTTTCGGTACGGTATCAAATTGTTAATTTTTTATTTTTTGTAATATCATTACATATTTACTGACTGTATATGTGTAATTAGGTCTCTGAAGAAAAGTGCTGTAAAATTGTGTGGTTAATTTTTTCCAGTAATCCTTGGGAACTAGTGGCAAGGGCTCAATGGAGAAAATATCCCAACAAATTTAACCAGGCAGTTGAAGGCATTGATGTTGTGGACAGAAGAATAGATGAAAAAGGTGTTTTGAAAACTCATCGTCTGTTAAGCACGAAATGGGGTATTCCAGGTTGGGCCACTAAGGTAATTAAACATAGAAAATAAAGCTTATTCATCTGACAGTAAGAAATTGCACATTTGGCAGGGTTGCAGTGTGCCATAAATGACTGATTTGCAGTATTTATCACCATATTTCTAAATTATTTGGTATTTCGAGGATTTTAAGTTCTGTTTTCAATGTGTAAATTACTTTCTTTGATCAGAATATTTTATTGTTAAACACATTTTCAAAAAAAATCATGAAATTTAGCCTGAATCTTGAGGCATACTGCTATAAAGCACGTTATTATCTTTCATAAAAAAAAACATACACAGATCATTTTGGAGATTTAAGTCAGAAACAGTGATATTTATTTACTACTTTGTACATCTTGGTGTTCAGCATAATTAATGGTATTGCTGGTAAAAAATGAAACTGTTAAGTAAGTTTGAAAGATTACATGCATTGTATTTTCTATTCAAATGCAGGTTTACATATTTGAGCAGCGTCACGACAAAACCAACGTAATGCGTTTGCGACCAGCATGGATCCAGACCAGCCTGCGCATCCACGCAGTCTGATCAGGATCCATGCTGTTCGCTTACAAGCCCTATTACAAGTAGAGAAACTGATAGCGAACAGCATGGATCCTGATCAGACTGCGCGGATGCGCAGGCTGGTCTGGATCCATGCTGGTTGCAAACCCACTATGTTGGTTTTGTCATGACGCGGCTCATTTATTGGTATTATTGAAACATGATGTGAAAATTTACAGGTTTTGGGTACGTCTGGCCTAGTATATGCCAGAGAGATCTCTGTTTTTGATCCTATTACACGATATATGCACATCAGATCGTGTAATGTGAGTAAAATGAGAAGAGTGTTTTACACACAGGCTGATAAGTGAAACAAGTCTGAAGAAAATTTTCAAGAATTGCATTTCATATTAGCTATTTTTATTCTTTTTCTTAGCCACTAAAATAAAGTTTGGATATTAAGAAGTTTGTATTAAAGATACATGTATAAACTAAAGTTAGTTGTGTTAAAATGATTTTTAGAAATAAATTTATGTATGATTTTATTGTCATAATCATTTGAAATAAGTGGAATTCAAATAAAACAATATTTGTAAATTAGATATTAAAGTTAACTGATAAGTATTTACTTGCCAGTCTGTAGGTAAAATACAGTTCCTGGTGTATTTTCTAAGGCTTTCCTTGCATGAACTGAACTAAAGATGATCCATCCATCATTTTGTACAAGCACATCTATGCACTGTTGTATTTATGTGCCTCTTTCTTACTGTGCTTAAACCATGTGACTATTTTGTCCCATGCTTTTCGTTACAAATTTTTGTTTAATCTGCATTGTTTACATGGATAAAGTGTAGAGCCCATACTGCTCATTCTAATCTAGAGTAATCCATTTATGTAGAATGTTTCTTGGGGAAAATGTAGTATATTTCTTTCAGAAGTGAAGCCACATGAGTTTCTGAATGTTCCAACACACCATCTCTGTTGATTTTCTCAAGAAACATTTTATGGGTTGGGTACTCACAAAAAACGAGCCGACTACACTTTATCTCGTGAAAATAAGAACATTGAAATATATTTTTTTTAAAAAGTACAGAAGAAAATACAATATGTGCTGCCTTATATTGGTTTTCTGCCCCACGCAGATCACAGGGAAGTCATCAAAGGAGAGACATAGAGGATATTTGTTTAGTTCAGTGTAAGATCGGAATATATTTCAGCGAGTGAGTCCCAAAAGGTATATTTCACGAGTGGCACAGCCACGAGTAAAATATGAACTTTTGGTGTTCATGAGGAGAAAATATTTCGATCTTTCCCTATACTTAACAAATTTCTGTTTATTATATGCAAAGAAATGTTTAAAAAGACATTTAACCTAATACTAAATGAAAAGCGCGCCAAATTATAATACAAGTGACATCATTTACGACATCACATCATTAAGTTTGTTTCCAGTTCTGTGCACGCTGGTATTTCACTGAAACAACGTAAGGGGCTTAAACTCAAAACAGTGAAATTATCAAATTGATAATTTCACTGTTTGAAACAGTGAAATTATCAGTTTTACATTTCACTGATATATTTCTATAAACCACCAAAAAGCATGTAATGAAACTTGGTAAAGGTTAGGCTTATGATAAGGTATAACCCAGAACTTTTACCTGCGACAACTTGTTCTAATATCTTAAAAGTAAGGAAAAAAAAGGTTTGTAATTCAAAGCAGGACTAATGTAACAGTCAAAGAGTGAAAAATGAAATAAAAGACTAGTGTTACTGGAGAAAAAAACATGTGAGTAGTTGATGGATGGATCACCATATCATTTCACCATAAATGTTATTTTGTTTTGTGTTTTTGCTCACCAGAGTAATGAGTAACTTACAAGCTTGAAATTATAAACCTGTAAATGATTAGTGTTATAATTTCCTATCTATGCAAACAATTAAAATCAGGTCAGCCTTTGACATGTATAATAGGATGGTCTTCCATGGCCAAGAGTCAGGTTGTTACTTAAAACTACTTGCCCATTCCTGTTAGTGTTGTATGTTCAAATCCTTGCAGGGTCTTTGAATATTTCAAAGCAAGGAAGTTAATATTCGGCTAGCTTACAGAATGTCATTGATTGTACACAAGTGCCTCAGTGCTTAGGTATGAAATAATACAAGGAGGAACACCTCCATCAGGAAAGGCACCATACAACATTTAAGATTGTCATTGTTCATTAAAACTCGGCAAACAAAAGGCTGATCTGACTTTTCTATACTGCTAATCACACAAGTTTTCAAATTGTCGGTACTGAAATCCCTCCAAATAATATTGGACTGCCCCACATATAAAACAAAAAACAACTTTATATTCAATGTAAATATTTGCCCGACATATTAAGAATGTTATTATTTCATTTCGATCTTAATAGCTGTGATTTACTGTTACTCTTGTGAGCTATATTAAGTTTTATTCATTTTTTTTTTGTATGCAAGTACTGTTATTGTACATTGGTTTTTCTATTTTTGTTTCTATTTTGATATGTATTTTTTCGTTGTCACAGATAGTAGGATCTGATGGTATTGGCCATGCAAGTGAACACTCAACTGTTGATCCCAAGAACAAAACCATGGAATTAAAAACACGCAATGTATGTTGTATTGTGTTTTTCAATATTTTCCTTTTATTTTGCTTAATTTTTTTGTCTTAGTCTATAAAGTTGTATTTATTTGAAAAAGCTTTTTTATGCCCCCACAATGTGGGAGCATATAGCGTTGCACTTGTCCGTCCGTCCGTCAGTCAGTCCGTCAGTCCGTCCGAACGTCCCGAAATCTTGTGAACGCAACTCCTCTTAAACCGGATGGCAGATTTTGCTTAAACTTACAGGGATGAACAACCTTAATGTGTAGATGGTAGTAAAGGAAGGAATTTTTGCTGCGACCAAATTTAACAGAATTATGGCCCTTTGTTGATTTTTTCACTAGATACTATGTAGAAATTTTGTGAACGCAACTCCTCTTAAACCGGATGGCAGATTTTGCTTAAACTTACAGGGATGAACAACCTTAATGTGTAGATGGTAGTAAAGGAAGGAATTTTTGCTGCGACCAAATTTAAGAGAATTATGGCCCTTTGTTGATTTTTTCACTATATACTATGTAGAAATTTTGTGAATGCAACTCCTCTTAAACCGGATGGCAGATTTTGCTTAAACTTACAGGGATGAATAACCTTAAGGTGTAGATGGTAGTAAAGGAAGGATTTTTCGCTGCGACCAAATTTAACAGAATTATGGCCCTTTGTTGATTTTTTTTATTATATACTATGTAGAAATTTTGTGAACGCAACTCCTCTTAAACCGGATGGCAGATTTTGCTTAAACTTCCAGGGATTAACAACCTGAATGTGTAGATGGTAGTAAAGGAAGGAATTTTTGCTGCGACCAAATTTAACAGAATTATGGCCCTTTGTTGATTTTTAGTTTTCAACTTGTGGCACATGTAGTCCAAAAAATATTTGACCTAGAGTCATTAGATTGACAGAACAGTGGCGTGTGGGGGCATCCGTGTCCTATGGACACATTTCTAGTTCTTCATCTCTCATGAGTTCAAGTGGATTGAAAATAAGTTTTGGCTGTAATTGTAAATTTATGGAATCTTCATTTTGGGGATTTTGACATGGAAAATTCATTAAAATTCCTTAAAATTGTGGAAAGTGGAACAATGTCCTAGTTTTGGTCGAATATGCTTTAGACAAATCACATTTGCGTTCTTTATTATTGCACGATTTCAGAATATATTTTACTTTCAAAACTTAAGTATTGCATTGTTTCCTATATGGATTTTTTAGCTCGTGAACCTGTCACAAAGTGACAGGGTGAGCTTTTGTGATCGCTTTTCGTCCGTCCGTAAACTTTTACTTTAAATGACATCTCCTCATAAACCACTAAGCCAATTTCATCCAAACTTCACAGGAATGTTCCTTTGGTGGTCACCTTTAAAAATTGTTCAAAGAATTTTAATTCCATGCAGAACTCTGGTTGCCATGGCAACCAAAAGAAAAAACTTAAAAAATCAACTTTTAAAAAACCCTAAGAGCTAGAGCTTAGATATTTGGCATGAAACATCTTCTAATAAGTTTCTACCAAGTTTGTTCAAATAAAAGCCCTGGGGTCAAAATTGGCCCCGCCCCAGGGGGTCATTGATTTTCCCTATATGCATATAGTAAAAACTTAAAAAATCTTCTTTTAAAGAACCCAAAGAGCTAGAGCTAAGATATTTAGCATGACACATCTTCTAATGGGTGTCTACCAAGTTTGTTCAAATAAAAGCCCTGGGGTCAAAATTGGCCCCGTTCCGGGTGTCATTGATTTTCCTTATATGTGTATAGCAAAAACTTAAAAATCTTCTTTGAAAAAACCCAAATAGCTAGAGTTTAGATATTAAGCATGAAACATCTTCTAGTAAGTGCCTACAAAGTGTGTTCAAATAAAAGCCCTGGGGTCAAAACTGGCCCGCCCCAGGGGTGTCATTGATTTTAACTATATGTGTATAGTAAAAACTTAAAATTTTAAAAAAAACCAATGAGCTAGAGCTTAGATGTTTAGCATGAAACATCCTCTTATTGGTGTCTACCAAATTTGTTTAAATAAAAGCCCTTGGATTAAAATTGGCCCTGGGGGGGGGGGGGGGGAGTAGATTGTTGTTTTTCATTATATGTGTGTAGTAAAAACTAAACATCGTGAAACATCTTCTAATGGGTGTCTTCCAAGTTTGTTCAAATAAAAGTCCTGGGGTTTAAACTGGCCCCGCTCCGGGTGCCTTTATACAGGTGAGTGACCTCAGGGCCATCATGGCCCTCTTGTTTATTGTTTTCAGCAATTTGCATAAACTCTTGATCTTGGGATTTAAATTTTAAAATAAATGGTTGTTTAGCGTGTAATTGTGTTTTAATTCCTGATTGTAATTAAAGTCTTCTTGTATTGTCACCAGTTACTTAAAGAATTTTGTTAAGTTATATTATTACTTTCTATGCCCTAACATTAGTAGCTCAGTAGGGTTTGGGTTTTCCTGCTTGTGAGTCTTACTATAGAAATTTTGACAATAATATTTTCATTTAAATTCTTATTGAGAGTACAACAAGAATGGAAGGTAAGCTTTCATTTTAATCTCTGAGATTCTATTTAATTTTTCTATATGAATTATTTATATTACATAACACGTGTATTGATATGAAGGCGAAATGCCTTTGGTCAATTTTACTAAACTGGCCAGAAAAAGCTATGTTGACTTCACCAAAAGTAAATGATTACTTTATATAATTGTCTTTTGGTTTTTAAGTTTCACCTGTTTCATTTCAGTTGACATTTTGCAATATGATAACAATAGATGAAACACTTGTGTACTCTCCCCATCCAGAAGACAAGAATAAGTAAGTTCACTTAAATGATGACTCTAATATATCTAAATTACCTAGGTAAAAAAGACATTTTTATTCAGCAGCAATAAATTCCAAAGAATCATATTTGATAATTTGACTTGTATATTTGTAAATATAGTTTAGCCAAGGTTTATAACTGTTATGACAAACAAACTAAATTTGTTTGTAACCGTTACTGAAAAAAAATTATAAGAATTTTTTACAGTTTGTAAAGATAGGTGAGCTAAGTCAGTAAAAAGTATAGATTTCATTTTACTTCAGGTATTAGGCTCTGTGTTATTTGATTTTAGCTTAACTTTTTATGTGGGCACTGACCAGGCCTTCTTTTCCTAATAGATAAAGTTACTTCCAGTAAACAAAGGCATTCCCAATGCCAAAATACTTGGTTGTTATTTTCTGATTAAGAAACAAAAATTTTAGGAGGCCTTGATTTTGAGGTTTGTGTCATCGGGGGATATTTGCTTAAAAATTTCTTTTCCTTAGAATTAAAGAGCTAAGATGAAATGTCACAAGTCTAAACATGTATCATTCTTTCTTACCTAGGATGAATCAAATTTTTGAAGTCATATATCAAATAGTGTGCATTTCAGTATGGTGAGACATTACAGTAAAACTGATAGCAGTATCATATATGATTTTGACATTTCCTTAGGGTGTTAATCATATATTAACAATTTCAGGACTTGCTTAAAGCAGGAAGCTGTGATCAATGTTAAAGGTATCCCATTTGGCAGCTACATTGAATCATTTGTTTGTGACAATATATCAAAGAATGCATCCAAGGTGAGTACAATAGATTGATAGGTATTTATTTTTAACAATGCTTTTTTTCACTTTAAAGGGAATGGTGGAAGGGCTATTGGTAGGGGGGAAAATGTGTCGTGGACGGGGAAAAGGGAAATCTAGAAACAGATACAATACTATGTTTTATGTTAATTGTGATGCAATACAATACATTTTCCAAACTACAATGTCTCTCTTGTCCCACCCATGAACAAATTATTGTTTTTACTTCTGTACAAAATTCTGTTTCAAAAATAGGGGGAAAAATATATATACTTTTTAAAGAGGGGATTTTTTTTCCTCAATTGGCGCTTAAAATACTGTTATGATTCATTGAGTCCCAAAGGTCTAAAACAGCAGATTGAAAATATTACACAGATGAATTTAGGGACCTTAAAATGAAAAATATGCTAAAGGTAATGAAACTATTATAAAAATTTATTTAAAAATTGATTTAGTATGATTCTAAGCCAAATTAAGTTAAATGTGTAATAACCTTTCATTTTTAGACAATTTTGCGCCGTATAAATTATTGTTCTGATCTAAAGAAAGCTACTCTGGTATATATATTAAGGAAACACAAGTTATGTCATGTATGTGTTAAATGTATGACAGACAAGTTATGGATTATGTGCAGGAACGTTAACAATTCAACTGATTTACATTTTAGGGACGAGAAGCGATGGACCATGTTATAAATGTTATACAGATGGAAACCAGAGATTTACAATTAAGAGCTCAACAAGCCATGGAAACTATCAACCTTAATTTCGAGGCCATGGAATCGAACAATCTCAGTTTCGAAGTTTGACGAGAAAACAATCTAGGGTCTTCCAATTCTAAATCATGGTTTCATCATCTGCTTGAGATTAACCAAGATCTGATCCTGAAAAAAAGTGATTTTTCAAATCTTGTTAATGTTTGAAATCATCATCTGAAGACTGTGCCTCTAAGTTGACAATGAATTGTTTATCATCTTAAAACCCATATGTGGACCATAAAGAATCTGTTATGTGTAAAGTTACAAGTTTCTTAGTTATTTTTATAAGATAGCTTCAAAATGGACACATATCAACTGCTGATTAATGCTGATAGATATATTAAATCTTTATACTAATCAAAGTATATTTACTAGTGCTTATTGTCACTTATTTCATCAGATACTTAAATAACAAAGAACTTTAATGGTTAAGAAAACATAACCAAATACTTTTACAACAAGCTAAATATTGAAATTTGAAAAATCATGATTACGAAAGAATTGATTTTTTACAAAATAGATTTTTTTGTCTATAAGTAGGAAACATGGTTATTTTAGTAAAATTTTAAGTATTCTAAAAGGTTGACTGCATCATTTACAAATATTTATGTTTTTGGATGTCCAAAAAACTGTAATAAATATTGATTTCTTTGGAACAAACATTCTTGTGACCTTTATTAAAAGTAAATTTCAAAGCACAAGTCTATATAAGTCTGTAACATAATTAGTTTTTACATCATAAAATTATTATTTATGTGAATGCTTAATACAATTGTTGAAATTTAAGCTGTGTGTATTCGTGTGAATTAAAGTGATTAACTTTAATGTAAGGTAGCTGCAGTGATTAGATCACTTCTCACATAACCATTATATGACTGTGATATATTTTAATGTTTTAACTTTGTATATCCATCTTAACCATTTCTCCGAGTTTTGAGTTGTGATGTTACTGTTATTGAATTTTGAACTTGAGTCAGGTACTGACAGTGTTTGAACTTTTGTCAGAAATTCACAGATTTTCAACTTTCATTAGATATTGACAGTGTTTGAAGTTTTGTCAGAAATGTGCCGGCTTAGATCTTGGTCAGATATTGGTTAATAGTATTTATGTAAGATATAAGAAGTAATGGTGTTTTGTCAGATAGTGGCAAGAGTTTGTAATGTTATCATGTAAAACCTAACTAATTGGCAGGGATTTGAATATTTTTAAGAATTGTTTCATTTCTTTGAAATGTTAAGGTTTTTGTGTTGTTGCCATATGTTTCTGTAAGTTCAAGTTTTTAATTTTGTTTATTTTAATTACTTTTTATGCCTGCTTTAACTTGGCATTGTTAAATATGTCAAGACCTGGAACAATTCAATTAAAATACACTGACGGTGCAATGTAATTTTTTTGTCCTGGGTTTTCTGACAAAGAAGAACAACATTCAGTACACTGTGCAAGGTGTACTTCTTATTAGACATTTCAATATTAAAAAGCTCTAATTTAATCTTAATTAGCATATAGTACCTTTTTTATTTTTTTAAATTCCAATTTTGAGCAAAATTTTTAAAAATTAAAAGGGCCCAATATCGTTTTTGGTCGGGTTTTATTTTAAAGAAGAATTTGTTCCCCGGGTTTGATGTCTTTTAAATTTTCTACCCCAATTTGGGGTTGAAATTTTCCCAGTAAAAAAAAATTTTTTATTTTTTTTTTTGTTCAAATAATCCCCAATTTTTATGTCTTTTTTTTAAAACTGACAGTAGATCATGTGAAACCAAAAAAAAAAATAAAAAAATTTATTTTTCTAAAAAGGGTCTCCCTTAATTTTTTTCATTTGTTTGGGAATTTTGATATTTGATTGTGGAAATGGGAAACCCCCTCCCCAGAAAAATTTTCCCCATTTGTAAAATGTCCCCTAAATATGCAGAAAACCAAAGTGACAATAAGGAGGTTAGCTCTGAAAAGTCTTGTTTGTGTCCACAAAGGGCAGGCCTTTCAAATCATCTCTACGCACTAGGGGCTGGCTACCATGCACATTTTGAGGCCACTGGAGGACATTGGCAGCTGAATCGTAGATTGGGATAGAAGCAGGCCTTTCAAATCGTCTCTACGCACTAGGGGCTTGCTACCTTGCACATTTGAAGGACATTGGCAGCTGAATCGTAGATTAGGATAGAAGCAGGCCTTTCAAATCGTCTCTACGCACTAGGGGCTGGCTACCTTGCACATTTTGAGGCCACTGGAGGACATTGGCAGCTGAATCGTAGATTGGGATAGAAGCAGGCCTTTCAAATCGTCTCTACGCACTAGGGGCTTGCTACCTTGCACATTTGAAGGACATTGGCAGCTGAATCGTAGATTAGGATAGAAGCAGGCCTTTCAAATCGTCTCTACGCACTAGGGGCTGGCTACATTGCACATTTTGAGGCCACTGGAGGACATTGGCAGCTGAATCGTAGGTTGGGATAGAAGCAGACGAAAGTGTAGTTTGGTGTCCTGGTCCTACCCTATATATACAATAACAGCCCTTGGATCTTAACCAGTCAACATGTCCTGGGTGAAAAATTCAAGTCAAATAAAGTCAAGCTGCAAATTGTCGTAAGATCAACCAGTGGAAGTGGTTAAACATTTGATGGATCGTAGTTTAAACATGGTTTTCATACATTTGTTTCTGTGTCGAGCTCGCTTGACTTATGGCCACTTTTTGCAAATTGTAAACCCGCTTGCGTTGAGCTCTAGTTAGTTGCCACTTTTGGCATACAGTATGGTGTATGTGCATCTGATATTGTCCGATCTATATATTGCTCATTCTTTGAAGGATCACAAAATAATTTGGTACAAATGTTAACCATGATGGGGTGTTGTGTTCCACACAAAACCAAGGTCCGCCACTCAAAAGTCAAGGTCACACTGGCGGGGTTTTGAGTTTAAAACCCGTGTCTGGAGCGTAACTTTCACATGCATGGAGGTATTTTAACAACTCTAGACAAATGTTCTCCCTAGTGGGGTGGAGTGTCACACGAAAATTCAGGTGTGTCTGTGGTCAAGGTCACTCTAAGAGATAAAAGGTCAAATAACAAAATAAAACATTTATTTTCGAGTATAAGTTCTACATGTATGGATTTTAATATAACCTCGCACAAATGTTCTCCATGTTGAGTTGTCTCGCGCAAAATGAAGGTCAAGGTCACAACATGAATTGAGTTTTTCAGTGACAAATGTTCATCATGAGACTTTGTGTCATGGATAGAACCAAGTCACCGGGTCAGAGGCCATGGTTATCTTAGATGATGCAATGTTAAGAGTTTGCCCTGGTTATAAAAACGATGTGTTGCACACTTCTCAAGTATATATACACTTTTCTCCTTGAGCTGAAGCTTATAGATTCAGGTTTGAATTAAGACGAGCGGCCTCGACATTCTGTCCGTGGGTATGTCTTGTTTTTTTTGTTTTTTTTAAATTGAATGGAAAATAAAATTCTATCGAAATGAACTTGCAAAAGTTGATATTTGAAATAATGGCATTATTATCAGACATTGAAAGCATCTTAGAGACTTCTATTTTTAAAATCAAATTGACAAGTAAATACAGTGCCATTCATAAATACCTTTATTTATAATTTCGTATAAATGATAGTTATTATACCATATTATATACCATATGATGATTCTGTTTGAGTTAACAATATCTGATTTTTTCATTTATCATACTTTACTGGTTATGTTAAATCAATGATTTCAAGTTAAACTATACTATCCAATCTCTACCCCCTTACTATTTTTATTAGTTTGAGCATACAAGTAGTTGTCATTTTCTTTTTCTTTTACACATGAACAGTCATATAAGATATCAGACCCATACTCCAGTGATAAACGCATCATTGTATTTTTGATTTAAATGTAAAAGACATAGCAGAATGCCTGATCACTTCAAACATTGGATTAACGTTAACATAGTAACATTTCTCTTCTTGTGCTTTAACCTCGACAGACTGGTGTAGAGTAACAAGACTATCAACAAATGTACACCATGTATTCCGGCTCATGCATGCTTCTTCTAGTACAATGTGTGTGAGACGTTTCATTTCTGATGTAACAGTTAGAGCGTTTTCTTCTATATTGACATACCCTAACGCGAGCTTCCTAAGCTGATGTAGAGTATGTACTACATTTCCTACTCGTTCATTGTATTGAAATTTATTGTCTGATTCACCTTGTAAAGAGAGTTCAGTCAATCTGTGAGCATTTAAAAAAATATCAGATTCTAATATTCCAGGACAGTGTTTAATATGTACTTGTTCAAGTTGTTCAGTGTTCATTTGGGAAATTTTCAATTGACCACTATATTTCATAATAAGAGCTCGTAGTTGGTTTTGCTTAGAAAGGTCTATTACATGTATGCGACCTCTAACAATAGGCCTATTGTCAGACACATACATCAAAGTTAGTTGTCTCAATGGTGCTTGTTGTAATAACAGTACTAGACTTCCTATGTTAACAGTCACACAATCAAGGTGAAGTGCAATGAGTTTGCTGATGTTTGATGAAAGATGAAACTCTAATGCTCGAGTATCAGTGGCACTCATCAACTGAGGATCAGTTTAGGTTTTACGTTAAAACGGGGTTTAAAAACTTTAAACCTTTTTTGGTCAATTTTTTCCCTTTTCCAACTTTTCCCAAGGGGGTTTTTTTTTCCCTGTCCCATATGATACAAGGATAGGGTACGAGTCCTTAAATGTTTTTGAAGTTTGGTTATTTTTAAAACAGATCAAAAAAACAGCATTTTTGTATGCAAAATCATTCCTGTAAAAAAAGGCCTTCCCCTTTAATTTTGCTATTTTTTAAATGAGTAAGACATTGTCGCTGTTGACGTACATTATGGGAAAAAAAAACCCCCCTTTAATCTAATGTAGGTTTCCCTAAACGGTGCTTGTTGTAATATAAAATGGGGAAAGGGTAAAAAAAATTTTTTTAAATCCCCAAAAACCAAAAAAATTTTTAAACGAAAATTTCATTTTAGTTTTCCTGCATTTGATAAACGTTTAATATCAAATATATACCAGCAACTTTGAATGTGTACTTGTTCAAGTTGTTCAATGCTTAACTCAGAAATTTTCAATTTTGAACTTGACAGCTCCAGTGTTTGAATACTGTTTTGCTTAGATAGGTTGATATCACAAGCGAACCCATTGAAGGGTGCGTTATACAATGCGAGGTGTTTTATGGGTAGTTGATGCGATAATAACACCTTAATATGTTTCAAAGAAGAATATCTAATATGCATGTATTGCAGCTGTTTGCACTGTCTGAGATATTCCGCGATATATTTCCAGTACGCGTTGATATCTCTATCATCGATATAGTCAAAAGTCAGAGAAATCACGTCATCTGGGTTGATACTTTGTAACGGTAGAACAGGTTCCGAAAAACCAACAAATAGGTCGCTCACACTGACCATTGTGTTGTTATCAAAGCCACACTCTTTTAGACAATCTATCGTTATCAGGCGTTGTATCAAAGTTATCTCATCTTTTCCACTTATCTCTTTAGATCCATTCTTTCTAAGATGCAAAATGTGTTCGTCCTTATTCATAATGCATGAGATCAGCTTTGACAAATCACCAGTAAGGACAGGGGACAATCCACAAACCATTTTAATCACATTAGATAATTGTAATATGTCACTAGCTGATGCACATGTACCAAAGAGGGTATCTAAAACCTTCTGATTTCTATCATCTTCTTTTTCTTGAAAAGAATTTGGTTTTGTCTTGGTATCATTTGTAGTGACATAAACAGCGGCAAAGAACTCAAGAAAAGACATGTGAGCAAAGGCATAGTGTTTATCTTTCTCTGTCGTGTTGAAACAGTTGATTTCATTTAATATGCCAAATTGTGTAAGCTCATTGACATCAATGTTTGATAATCCAGTCTTCAAAAGGTTTTGTCGATTCAATATGTTACGTAATGAACCAGAACGTAAAATATCAAATGCAGTTTTACCGCAGAGAAATAAAACTCGTTCTTTGCCTTCAAACTTCGGATATTGCTGCATGATTGTAGGCAAAAGTAAGTTATCACTTTCGCTTTTATGTCCATCATTCCTGTGGTTTGACCAACCGCACATGGCATTCAACATCTTAGCGTAAGTTTCGCTTATGGTTCCACCTAAGTCCTCATCATTACAATACAACCACAGTAATTGTTGCAATAGAAATGGCCTTTTCTCTATCTGCTCAATTTGTTCTGATACCATAATGTCAATGAACTCATCATAAGTCTTTGTGCTTACCTTTGAAATCTCAGAAATATATTGTTCGATGAATAATTTCAATGATTTACTAGATATACCTAAAAACTGTAACTTGTGATCCACATCGGAGTTTTTCAAATTGATTATTCCTTTTGCTGGGTAATAGATAATGGATTACCGTTGCCAAGTCTTTTGCCCGGTTCCAAATTTGGTAAATTCCCATAACTTTATGTTGGTTCCAGCGCTCAAATTTCTTATCAGGACACGAAACCATTCACCAAGCATCAAAGAAGATAAGACAAACGTTTTGAGTCTTCTTGAATTTTTGGTCAATCACTCCAAGATTAGAAAATGGCTCTCTTTGTTAGTTCCCTTTAAATCATATCAACTTTTACATCAAGACTTGAAGCTGGTCATATAAATTGGGTGGTATAAAAAAAAGAAACTCATAGTTTTGCATCTGACTTACATCTTCACACCTGTTGACCATATTTGTATCACTGAATACGAATTCCGTTCCATCATGAGCATTTTCATCGCAAATCGACCCTTCTGGCGCACCAGTTACAGCATTACACCAGTTTTCAATCATCATTTTGCAAAAGGTACTCTTTCCCGTTCCAACGTCACCTACTATATATATCTTTTTATGTCGTTGTCCATTTGTTTGAAACAGTTCATAGTATCCGTTTACATATCTCTTCTCTGGTGTCATTGTCGAATCTTCAACCCTATCCACAGATTGATCCTCCTCGATGACTTCAATCTCTGGAGGGACATATACATCTTTAACGTTAATACAATTCTGGTGTTGCTTCAAAGGTGAAAGCGATGTCTTCACATAGTACCTCTGGTAATACTTAACTAGCTCAACTTGTAGCTCTGTGACAAAGTATAAAATGTAAAAATAATGCATACATATCACAATCTATTGAAATGTATCTAAATTATCGTAAATTGATAAAAGTAAATATCGGCATTAAACTAGCAATAATAAACTTGTCAACTTTCTGTTGTTATACATGTATTACCTTAACTTATACACATGAATTAGTTCAAAGATAAATCAGTAAGAACCACGACATTGTATCACTTTTTTGTCACATACACCTGAGACGATATGGGCACAAGTATTCCAGTATAAAGAAATGGTAAGTAAACAACATTAAGAACCAAATGATATTTCCTCATATTATTCAAAAGTCGAATATCATACATCGATAATAAGTTAAATAACTGATGTAACAGATTGAACTATACTTATAAGGCAATTTTCTTTCAAAAAATCACCCGACTTAGTGCCACATTGTAAGAAAATACGACTGTTTAGGATTTTAAACCTTAAAAAAGGGTTAGCATGAGGTTATAAAATGCGTCAGTTAAATCTTAGAATACAGGTGTATTTCTTTTAATCAGCCGACCAGTGTTTCGGAAGAAACTGATTAAAAACGTTCTGAAAGTGAATTCTCGGTAATATCTAAAATACAAAAGTTTTATTCAAAATAGGATAACTCAACAACGAGGTCGGCGACCCGTTACTACTAGTATTTCCCCTTAAAATGCTGTTGTCATATCCTAAGACCATAGAAAGTTGAAATAAAACCAACATAACAATTTTTATTCTGCCAATATTTACTCACATGAAACTAAACTCTAGCAAATGTCCTATAGTAGTATACCGATTTTGTGCGGCACAATGATAATGAAAAGGAATGTCAATTAAAAAGAATTGGAATGAGATAAAGTTGTTTAACTTAGAAGATGCCAGCCAACCGGCTAGCTGATTATATTTTTAAAAATATTCTACTCAATTAAATGCCTTATTAAAATTTTGACAACTGTTCTGTTACATTTATTTCTCATATTGTGAGTAAATATTGTCACAGTTATTACCAGAATTCGCCAACCCACCCATCTAGCTGATTTCTCAAATTGTAATTAATTTTATGTTTATGCGATTTAATGTTGCCTGTGGTGATAGAATTAAATTAAGCAGTTAATAGTTTATATTAATAATTTCTTAAAAGCAGAAATTTAGATTGATTGTTTATATTTGATTGATATACTAGGCTTATAATATCTAGTAAAAGGTAAATTCCTCGAGTGCTCGACAAAACAAATAGATGACAATTGTAGACTCGGTTTTATTGAGCCTTTTCATTCAAGACCGGCAACTGAAAAAAATTTTATTCCAAGCAGGCAATGCTAGAAAGGTAAATACCACATTCCTACGCCGAGATGGAAATGTATTCGTAAAGATATTGTGTTAATCGTAGAAGCTACATCTTAGTTCTCTAAAAATGGATGATGTATGTAGAATAAGCTTCGATCTTTACCTTGTTTCCCTTTGACATAATCTAAATGCCTCTTGTATATTTGACGTTTACTTTCTAGTTCTCTAACTTTGCTTTCTAGTGACGTCACTTGCTGAAAGCAACGTAGAATAAAATTTTCAGTTCTAGTATTATAAAATAAATTTTGTAATAGAAAAATGTTTAACATTTTTTTTGAACAGGCATATCGAGTGACCATTGCATGAAAAGTGTTTATTTGTTATATTAAATGGTATTATTGATATTTCATTAAACGTTGTGAAAATGACACATTACACTTTTACGAATTATTTCAATTTACCGGATGTTTGGTTATCATATGATTATAAAAACATCCAAATGATAGAAAGATGAAAGTTAAACAAAAGATATTGGTGGTTGTAAGTGTATCACCTTAATCACCTTGCTTAAATTTAATTAAACTTACCAAATAAGTAAGAAACATCTATCAAACTTAGCTTATGTTTTCCTTAAGGGACCATAGCTCTGAGCTAAAAACAACGATAAACAATCTAAATGATGACATATATGATTAAAGCGATAAATAGAATTATCATACTTCTTTCACAGAAGAACCATCTGACTTCAGAGCAGACATGTCTGTTTCAAGCTTACCTACTCTTTCAGAAACGACATTTTCTAATTTTCCTACCTTTCCGGAAATGTCTGTTTTCAATATCCCCACTTCTTCAGGTACTTCTTTTTTGACGTGTCTTACTCTTTCGTATAAAATTTCGCTGTGTTCGTCTAATTCTTGTACAGAATCATCTACCCATGTTTGTTTGTTTTCTTCAGCTTTAACTGTATCCTGGTCAATGTCGTATTGAACTTCTTGCTTTTCATCATTCATTTGCTTTAACTCGTCCAATTTGTGGCTTACAAACCTTAATGCTTCTTCACATACATCTACCTCATGGTTTGTTGTTACTTTAAATTTGCTTTCTTTTAACTGTTCATAAATATTGATAAGTTAGAAAGAAAGTAATCAAAATATAGCTATTATTTGTACATGCATTTACACGCGTTATTCATCTGTCTGAAAATATTTTTAATTTTTAATGTGATTTTTAAGGTTAATTGATGACATTATATTAGTTCTATAAAACAATTTTCTTACGAATATATGTGAAAAAAGAAGTGAATATCATTTTCAGTTTAATTAACACTGGTAATTATAAACTAATAATATTCTTTATAAGTAATTATAATACTAGTTAATTCATTTTAAAGAAAAAATATTTCAACTTGGAATGTTAAACCTAAAGTAATACCATTATATAGTGCGCTTAAATTAGCTTATTAAATTAAGTTAAATTTCATTGAAATGTTTAATGCCTATCTGGAAAGTCAATAACTGTTACGAGAATAATAAAAGAGGAGCGCTTCAAAGATATCAGCATGAGCATGATGTTTAAGAATTTATTTTTCTAAATAGATTAAGTTCTACATGTTTTTGTCAGATTTATATCTGTATATTCTATAGCATATAGGATAAATTTTACATAAAAACAAAATTATTTTCTTATAAAGTTTAATTCAAAATGAACAACACGAATACATATCATCAAAAACTAAATTATTAGACCCGGTCATGAAAGAAAGGACAACTGCACATATGATAAGTTAATATTTTTTACCTGTTTGAGATTGTTGACAGCTTGCTGAGCATCAGGTCTGCCTTCGAGTTGTTTTGGGTCTTCAAGAATTCTAACAATATCATCTATACATTCAACCACTTCCCTATCTTCCATTTCCATGGTAGTGGAATGAATCAACTTGTTTCTCCTTTCTCGTACCTACACATTTCGTGAAAAATCTTGTTATTATTAGATATAAGATAAAATAACAACCATAGATTTAATTAATTACATTTTCATATATTTATCAAATTAAAAACGGTTGAAGAGTGTGAAACTAAGCTTATGTTTTCCTTAAGGGACTAAAGCTCTGAAACCAACATTTGGATTATAATGTAAGAATGCCTAAGCTATTTTGTTCTTGACCTTAATGTTTTGGTCGTTACATAATGGCGTTAGAACAAAAGATAAATACAATCAGATTTTAACATAAGTGATTTTGACCCTAGTAAATGTTTATGTTGAGCTGTGAAAAAA